GGAGCTGCTTTTTCACCTCCTATCCTTACATTGTTGAAATCAAATTAAAGAAATAAAAAAAAAAAAATAAAAAAAAACCAGCCAAAACAACCTACACACTAAGAGAAAACATTTCAGAGCTGGAAAGGGGTGCTGGAGCAGGGTAGGACACCTGTATCCTCCAGGCACCACCACTCTGCTCTGAGTGGCGCCTGCAGCACCTGCCCGACCTGTCCTGGCTCTAATTTCACATTTCCCTTCCAGTCCTGCAGCAGTGAAGCTCATGAGAGAACTCATCCCAAGCTGGGTGGGAGCTCCCAGGCCTAAAGGACCTGCACTCGCTGCTCCTATTCTCACTAACTCTAAATGCTCAAAAAATTATGTTGCCAAATCATTTTTTAACTAGTTTATTGAAATTAAAAAAAGACTTATAAAACTGAAGAGGAACGCTTAAGAGAACTTTACAGAAAGCAACAACTTGCTAACAAACAGATTAGGCAGTCAATTGGAATTGGACAGTTTGCAATCCTATAACACACATGTGGACTCCTCAGTCTCCTCTTGCCACGTACTTTAGAACCACCCCAAAAAGAATCCTATAAAAATTGCTCCAAAGCCCCTTTTGCATTGCAATAGTGCAGCAAACCACAAGTAAACAATCTCCTGTTAACCTGTTATTTCAAATATAGACTGAAAAGGCAACAGGCAATTTTGTGCAATTCCATTTTAACAAACTTTGAAGTTGAAATATCAAATCTACACAGTGCTGTCCCTTCACAGAAGGCAGGGAGCTGCTGGGTCATCATGTAGGGAGGCGTCCCCGGCTCTGTAGGCTGTGGAAGTGGGCTTCCTTCAGGATCTGGTTGATGTGGAAGTAAGGACCTTGGCTTAGTGCAGACTGCTCGTGGAAGGGCTGGGAAGAGACAGGGCTGGATCCTGCAATCCTGGGGTTGAGGCTGGACTCTGCTCTGTCGGGGCTGTTGATGCTGCTGCTGCTACAGCTGCTGCTGCTGCTGCTCCCACTGTCACTGCTGGAGGACTGGGACACACAGAGGGTGAACAGCAACATCAGACACCTCTTCGTCACCCCACAGAAACAAACCTTTAGGATAAATCCCTCCCTTCCACATTCCCAGCCTGATGGACTGAATAAATCCACCTTGGCACGGAGAGGTTGTTGTTGCCCACACCAGTGTCACAGAGCTGAAGGGACAAAGCCTTCACCCAGAGTTCAGTGACCTCCAGGATGTTCCAGCATTTCAATCCTTCCCAGTTAAACCCTCCAGCTCTGCCCCCAACCCCACGTTTGCACTAGTGAAGTTTGCTGCAGTGATCCGAGAATTGGAAAATGACATTCCCAGGCAGGCAGGGCAGAGGTTTGAGGGAGGCACCATGCAAAGCATTTTCCTACAAGGCAATCCTCAAATGAGATCTGAAGCATCCAAAGCAAGAGGTTGTGAGAAAGAAATGCACACAACACCCAGTTTTAAGTCTTTGAACACCCTAACATCAAGTACTCCCAGTTCTCTGTGGCAGGGTTAACTGGAAGTGTTCCATAGCAATTCCACACCAATTTACTTGACGTGGCTGTGAAAGAGCAACAGGCACCAAGGAATTCCTCATGCAGCAAAAAGAACTCAGCATTTGATTGGAATAAGAGGCCAGGGCTCATTTGCCAGCATTTAGGACAACCACATTTCATGGGAACGGCTGGAAGAGCGTTTGCCATCATCATAAGGGATTCAAAGACAGAAAACACCATTTCAGGGGTTGCTAAGGAAAGGTTCCATTAGCTCCAGATGGAATATTTTAGTTTGTGTGATCTGCAAATATTTGGGTGAGTCAATCAGCAAGTGGCTACTCTGCCACCCCATAAATGATTCATACAAGTGACAGCAGCTAAAAAATAGACACTTTTGTAAGAATTGAGCCACAGAAGTCACAGCTTTGTGGCCACAGCAGAAGAGGACAAATTTCACAGGACCCTCAGGGATTTACCAGTCAGCACCACTTCCAGAAGGGCCTCACCTGGAGTAAATCAGGAGTGGTACAAACTGCACCCAGCAGTGCTGCAGGGCCCAGGGAGGCACTTCGGATGTTTGGGGTGGAACACAACCCTCCCCCCCAGCTCTGATCCACCATCGATCCTGACCATCCAACCCTGACAAATTCCTTTGTTTCGCTAAGCACCAAAAATGCTTCAGCTCTGTGGGAGCACAGCAAGCCAAGCCAAGGGCCCCGGGCTGCGAGGAGAGAGAAACACACAGCGGGGTCATTCCCGAGGGAGCACAGATGGAACTACGGGAGCAACCAGCTCCTCTTCCTAAATCTAGAGAGGGAGAGAGCCCCGGGAGGACAGGGAGGAGCTGGGGGTGGTGCTGGGCAGCGCAGCTGCTGTTGCAGAGCAGCACAAAGAGTCACACGCGATGCTGGAAGGGGTCACAGCAGCCTCGGAGAGAAACCCACCGCACAGGACACTTTGTTTCCTTTTAGTCTGCGCTCCTTAGTGAGCTTCGTTACAGCCACCTTCTGCAAATCAAGGTAAAAATCCAAATGAGAACCTGGCCTCGCTTGCTGCTCACGTTTCACATCTCAACAGGCATTTTCCAGCTGTTAGTAGTGATTATTTTGTGCATCTGGGAGGTTTGTGAAGCTGGCAGCGTGTCCTGGGACAGATGGGGTTTGTCAGACCCTCTTGATTTCCAGTTCTCTAAGGCAAAGATTCACTAGCACTGGCACCCCTTCAGCACTGCCCACATCCCACGGAACACCTACCATGTCCCCAGGCTGTGGTGCACGTTCTGTAACGCATTTGGACTACAATCAGACAAGAAAAGAATCCTTAAAGTCATCAAGTCAGCAAAACAGGCATCAACAAAGCTTCACAGGGGCAAAGGAAAGCAGCCCAGTGACATTTATGAATATTTTAACTATCGAGAGGGCATCTTCAAGGTTTACTGGGCTCTTTAACCTTTAACATCACACTTTAAAAGTTTTAAAACAAACAAATGTTCTGTTAAATGTGCAGATCTGAGACAATCCCTCGTGACAGGAACTGGAGAAAGAGCCACTCAGCCCCTGCTGCTCTCAACATCTTCCAAGATGAGTTGAACAGAGCCACGATCTGGTTTTAGTGGGAACTGAAGAGCAGCCCTTCCCTGGACACTGGGGGACAAGAACTTAGATCTTATCCCTGCCAAGAACCCGGTGATGTTTCAATCCAGGCCAGAACAAAGAGGAACTACAAGAAATTTGGGTTTGCAGCAGTTGTTCAGGAAGGAAAGGGTCAGCCAGAACACTCAGACTCGCTTCCTTTCCTCGCTTTCCTCAGAAAATGAGAGCAAACGGTTTGCAGTGGTGATTCACCAGGCTGCAGAGCACAGCTGGGAATCTCAGCATTCCCATGAGCAGGATCCCCTTGGAGGATCCACTCCAACCTCTCCTGGCTTGATTGAGGAACCAGCAATGGATTTCTAACCAAGCACAGGGCAAACAACCCAGCTGAGCTCCTGGAAAAGAGAGCACAGGCTGAACAGGAAGCGAAATTCCGTGGCAAAGGCTCTGCCTCGCTAATGTTTAACGCTGGCTGTGGCTCCAGCCCCGTGTCTGTGCCTGTCCATGGACTGAGCCCAGAGCAGAGGTTTCTGTCACCCTCAGGGTGGCTGTAACCTGGGAGTGGCTCCTCCAGGAGCAGCAGGAATGGCAAATCCTTACAGCAACTGGCCAAAAAGCAGCACTGATGGAGACTGAAGAGAATCTGTTTCCATCCTGTGAAAGCTGGGGTGCTGCCTGTCCTGGGTGAAAGGACAATCCAGAGGGACAAAACAGCAAATCCTTTGGAATTGGATGTGATTTGGATAAGCAGTGGGACTCAAAGTGAGGGATCACAGAACAGCCCAGTTCTGAACTGCCAATAAGGAAAAACCTCCCTTCACCTTGTTCTCCAGAGCAAAACGTGCAAGACAAAAAAAAGTGGGAAGAGATCCTGCCAAAAGCCAAGTCCTGTTTAAAATGCAGCTGCCATCCTGAGGTTGTGTTCTCAAAGAAGCCTCGCTCTGCAAGAGGGAACAGCCAGTCTGAACCAAAACAGGCCAGAGGAATCAGGACTTTAGGTAATGTTTCACAAAAAGCAGGTGTGAGACGCCCTGCGATGAAAAGAGACTCTCATGTGCTCTTGGAAGTCACAAATTGCTCCCATTCCCCCTTTCCCAGGGAATATCCCAAAACCAGTGGGGATTTTGAACCAGCAAGAGGTGTCTTTGCACACAGCAAAATATCAGGAAACTAAATCCAAGTGTTCCAAACTGGCTGAGACTTTCCAAGCGGCACCAATTTGAATCACTCGTGCATGGTGAGCACGAGGATTTCTCCCTTTGGCACAGGAAGTCCTTAACCAAATGTTGGAATAATACAGATTTAATCTCGTGGCTTGAATTTCTGAGCATGCTCAGTTCAGGGATCCAACAAGAAAACAAGCCAAAAAAAAAAAAAAAACCCAAAAAGAAAAAGCTCTATTCATCAGGAGAAAACATTGGGAATTCTGTTTGCTGGAGAATGGGGCCGTTTGAGGAGCTTTGTCCACGTTCCTCAGCACTGAGAGCTCCTCCCTGCCTCACAGCAGGGTTTGATGTGTTAAAACCAGACTTTCACCAGGCAAGTGCATGCAAGAAGCAGAGTCTCTGTTAGGCTGAGCAGTGACCTTGCCCGTGCTGTTCCCCTGCAGGAAACCAGGCCAGCTTGAGGCCACCCCTCCTGTGTGGCCACAAGCCCGCTGCCAGTCCTGCTTTTAGTGGCTCTGCCCAAACACCAGGTGTTTACACGACAAGCAAAGGTGCTTCTGCCACTCACCATCAGGGGGTTTTCCTGATATCCTTAATTTCATTACTCCTACTTCAATCCCTTGTTCCACACTAAATCCGTCCTCCTCCCGCCACAAAGCTGCTTTAGCCTTTAACTACTCTACACACACGGAGGGGTTTGACCTGTTGGACAAGTGATTCAGTGTCAGATGGCAACAAACCGGGGCTGCTTCTCCCCAGCACAACCCCAAAATGCAAAGTTCTCCCTCCTGAAAACACAGCAGCACAGGGCAGTTGTCATCCCAGAGAATTCCTTCATGATGGACAGCAGCTCTTAGAGCATTTCCAGCAGTGTCCTAACACATAATCTACTTGTACAGGTTAAGAGAGAGTCTCCCTCGCAACAGAAACGTAGAAATATCCATTGGAAACTGTTTCCAGATTATAAAAGAGCTCAAAGTTACACAGCAACTAAACATTTTCTCCCAAGTACAATTAATAGTTGAATGTTTGGGTTAGTTCTGTAATAATTCAGACTGTAATTGCTCATTACAATCCACCCTCAAAGTCAGGAGGCTCTAAAAAGCCAAGGATATTTCCAAAACTTTCAAAGAAATTAATTTAATTCATTTCATTAGCTTCAGAGAGGGAGTCTCTGCTCTGCACCCTCTTTTCCATGAATGTTTTGCAACACAAGGACGTTGCTCACAGTGAATTTTCAGGTGATTCACCCAGGTGACATCTCAGGAAATCTGGCAGCAGTTGGGAAATCAGCAATTTCTTTTTTTTTTTAAGAAAAAAAAATCTCAAATTGCACAGAGGGAACACCTGTTTGGTGAGGGGTAAGAAAATAAGAGAGTTTATTCCACATACAGAAAAAAATCATGGAAAATATGAGAAAAAACACAAAGAGTTTTGAGTTTGAGTGTTTTAGCTGTGAACAAGTCTTGCTTAAACTGACCAGCACTACAAGAGCATTTTTTTCCACATCAGATAAGGCCTGCCTGGAATGTGTTTTGTCTTTCTCCCACAGAAAATCACCTGACTGTAAGGAAAGGCAAAGTTGATGGTCAGGCAGAGTGAGCACAGGGTCACATCCACCCTCAGCATCTCCCCAGCTCTGGTCACAGCTCATCCCACACAGCAAAACCAGAAACAGCAGGAAATTATTTCCCTGGGTGCTGCAGAGCAGGATTTGGAATTTCTTCCCAGAAATCTTCAGGCCAGGGATAACCAGGCTCACTGGAAATGCTGATTTCCAAACTGATTCAATCCTGATTTCAATCTCTGATGTCACCAAGTCAAACCTCACGACCTCAAACACAAAGCCATGAAACAAAAATGAAAGAAATGCACAGGATATTCCAACTGCTGCTGAAATGCAGCATGGAAGGAGGCTGGATTTTCCTGGGAAGGCTCTCACCTCAGTGTCCCACGAGTCCTGGAGGACAGTGTTCCTGGTGCTACGTTTGGTCTGGGGAACGTGACCATCATCTTCATTGCCATTCCTTCTCCTCTTCCTGCAGGAGAATATAAATGATCAGCTCACTGATCTACCTTCTGCTTTGTCCTCTGCAGGCACCCAAAAAAGCAGCAACACCTGATAAATGAATGCAGGATGTCTCCAGACCCCTGAGGTGCCGGGGACTCTCACGTTCCCCGTTCAGCTGCTGCCTGGGGCACAGAGGAAAGGATCCTGTTACTCACAAGATGTCTCCTATCAGTTTGAGGGACTCACATTAAACCCATCCTTCCAAATAAACTCATCTAACAATTGTCAGCCTTGCACATCTAAAAATAATCCCTGGGCTCGGAGTGACACCTGACAGGCTGGGGACAGCACTGGGATGAGTGGCAGTGACCACATTTCCCATTATTCACCTCTCACATCACCCCACAACGACTCTTTAGTCTCTCCACTCTGACAGTGCTTGGAATGGAGTCACATTCCAAAACAATCGCATTTCCCCTGTGGAAATAAGGTTTTGTCAGGAAACATCTCGTGGAAAACAAGCTCCTCTCCATTTCTGATGTATTTACCACTCTCTCATGACACCTGGGGTACAGGTTTTAACCTAATTTTTATCCAAATCTTTGCAGGCATCAAGGCAAAGCAGAGTCTGGAGGAGGATGATGGGGTGGGGGTGGTGCTAATATTCCCAGATTAGAGGAGATGAAGGGAAGACCTCAAAGACCAGGTTGGACAAGACTTGGAACACCCTGGGACACTGGAAGGTGTCCCTGCCCATGGCAGGGGGTGGCCCTGGATGACACTGAAGGTCACTTCCAAGCCAAACCACTGTGTGATTCTGTGACACCACCACAGCAGCTGATCCCCAGCAGCATCCCAGAACTCCTACACAAACATCAAACGATTCTCCCCACCGTACAAACGTGACAAGTCAGCCACGATCTCATCAGCCTCAAAAAAAAAAAAACAAAAAACAACACACGATGGAGCTGTTTTGGTGTGCCTAAAATTAATCCGTGCTCGAATGAGTCAAAACAGACTCGAGGGAGGTATTTATAACTGGCTCCTTTCTTCCAGCCAGGCTGTGCAGCAGCCTCAGCTGCCAGGATTTGGCCCACGCCTACAGCCTGGAGCTGCCTCCCTGCTCCCCATCCCTGGGATCACAGCACCAAACGCTGTCCATCTGTCCTGGAACACGCTCTGGGGAAGGGATATTCCTCCCTTTGCCTCTGGATCCTTCCTTTCCTCCACACCTGCAGTGACCTCGACAGCTCGGACAGGGCTTGGAGCACCCTGGGCTGTGGAAGGCGTCCCTGCCACGGCAGGGCTGGAATGGGAAAGGCTTTCACCCCATTCCCTGTCTCCACAATCCCTCACCTCCACCCAGCTCCCAGCCACTCCACGATCCCTCTGCTTCCTCCCCCAGCACGCCGAGAATCTCCCCCGAATCCTCCGCATCCCCCACGTCCCTTCGCCCTCCCGGAGGCACCCAACCTCCGCGCCGACCCCTTTAAGCCCTGCCAGCGCTCGGGGGGCCGCTCTCCCCTTCCCCAGCCCTCCCCGCGCGGCGCCCCCGGGGCCGCTCCGAGCGGCCGAGCCCCCTCCCCTCAGCGCGGCCCCTCCTTCCCGCCCTCCCTCAGGCCGCGCTGCCCTCGCCCACCTCTGTCTCGCTCCCCGCTCGCTCGGCAGCGGCTGCCGGCAGCTCATGGCGCGTCGGAGCGCGGCGGGGCGGGCGGAAGGCGGCGCGGAGGGGCCGGAGGCTGCGGTGAGGGCCGGAGGCCGCGGTGAGGGGCGGCAGCGCGGCCCTGCCCGGCCCCGAGCGCCGCTTCCGCCGCCGCCGCCTCGCCCCCGTGACGTCACGGCGTGCGCCCGCGCGGGCGGGGCTGCGCCTTTGTGACGTCACAGCGAGCGCCGCGCGGGCGGGCGATACGGCGCTTGCGCCATTGTGACGTCACCCGGGTGAGGGGCGGGAGTACGCGCGGTAATGGCGGCGGGGCCGGAGCTGTGCCCGCACTGCCAGCGGCCCTTCAAGCGGCTCCGCGCGCACCTCCCGCACTGCAGGGCAGCACCGCCACCGACACCGGAACCGGGACCAGCTTCAGCCGCCCGCCCGCCCCCCGCACCGCCATCGGCCAAGGGAAGGAGCCGCCAGCCCAGACCCGCCACCGGCAGCGCCTCCCGCGCCGTGCGGGACGTGGCCCGGAGCCTGGATCTGCACCCCGAGGAGGTGCGGGACGTGCCCGGGAAGCTGCAGAAGGGGGTGAAGGTGGTGATCCACAAGAACCGCGCCAGGGTGCTCCGGGAGAAGGAGCCGCGGGGCAGGGCAGGAGCAGCGGGGAGCAGCGGGGAAGGGACGGAGCCCGGCCCCGCTCCTCACCCGCAGCGCCGCAAAACCGCCCAAAAATCCAAGAGCAAGGAGACTCCGAGCCAGGGAGCCGTGGGGAGCGGGAGCTCCAAGGGACAGAAAAGCGGTTTAAAGGCAACAAAGGCACCTGCAGAGCCCCCCGAGAGCAGAAATGGCCTCGGTGACCTGGGCCAGCGGGGGGGAAGAGACAAATCCACGGCGGGAGAGGAGCGGGGGCACCTGGAAGTTGGGGTGGGATCTGAACCCCCCGTGTCTGCTTCGCATCCCAGGAACCTCCTCCGTCTGTCACTGACAGAGGCTTTGGGAGGTCACGGCCAGGGAACATCCAGAAATGAGCTCAGCAGCCTGCAGAGGCCGCGGGACAGCGGGGAGCAGCTGCAGGGAGCCTCCCAGCCCATCGTGAACCTGGGCACAGCCCCGGAGCTGGCTCTGCTCCACACCCCCAAAATCCAGCCCCGCCGTTCAGCCCGGGCCTCTGGCTTGGAGTGGTTTCCAGAGCTGTATCCTGATTATGAAGGGCTGAGGATTTTGCCAGGGAAGCGTTTCCACGAGGATGTGAGGATCGCTGCTGAGGCACCCCAGGGTGCTTTCACACAGGGCCAGCAAGGTAATGAAAGTCTCCCTGCTGGCATTTGCTGGAATGGGAGAGGAGGGGTAGGGAACGCTGGGCTTGCCCAGGGAAGGATCCAGGAGAATCCAAGGAGGTTTAACTGGGCCTCCTCCAGCCTGCAAAGCTCATGGATGATGTTTTCATGGAGGCTGGAGCTGACAAAGCCCAAACTTTGTGGGAGAGGTGATTCCCTCTCCTTTTCCAATCCCAAATTCCACACCACACAGCAGCTCCCCTGCTGTGACCACTGTGACTTGTCACCCCACAGGTCCCCTCTGGGAGAGACCCCTGATGGAGGTGAGGCTGGGGGAGCTACACACCTGGATCAGCACCTGCAACTTGTCTCCCCAGGGGCTGCTGGGAGCAGTGCAGAGAGGTGAGAATTCCTGGCTCTTGGGGCAGATCCATCCATCCCACTTCCCTGATTTACTTTATTGATCCAGGTAACCAGTCCAGATCTTTACAAAGCAAAGATCATGGAATGGTTTGGGAGGGACCATAAAGATGATCCAGACACCTTCCACTGTCCCAGGTTGCTCCAAACCCTGTCCTGCCTGGCTTTGGACACTTCCAGGGATCCAGGAGCAACCACAGCTTCTCTGGGAATTCTGTGCCAGGGCCTCACCCTCCTCACAAGGAACTCCTTCCCACCTATCCCTGCCCTCTGCGAACAAACAAACACCCCCAACATTTTAGCTTTGTAAAGCTGCGTGGAAACAGCAAATCCCCAAGACCAGCCTTTGGTTTATCCCTTTCCTTTCTCTCCCACCAGCCTGGAGAAGTTACTGTGCCAAATACATCCACGTGAGGCAGGGGGGACCTGCTGGAATCTCCATGCTCCTGGCTGGGTACTGCCTGCTCAGCTATGGCTGGAACTATCAGCACCTCAGTAAGAATTCCTTGGAATCTCCTGTTTCAGGACTCCTTCCTTTTGCAGCACTTGGAAAGCCTGTTTGGCGTTGCTGTTAATTAAAGCTCGGGAATAATTTAAATAATTAAATTATTTAAATACTCCTCTCTCAAGACTAATACCAGAGCTCAGAGAGCAGGATTCCCGAGGTGGGGAGAGGAATTTAGTTAACAAAAGTGCTGATAGCAGTTGCTGACTCACAGCTTCTCCCTGGAGAGCTCCAGGAGTGGCAGGAGCACTGGGAAAAGCCTGCAGAGGGCAGAGGGAGGAGATATTCCAACAGGAGCTCCTGTTCCCTGCATTTCCTGACAAATGGCAAGGGATTTGCTGGTGTTTGGGTGGTTCCCCCTTGCAGCACATGAACAGAGAAGCTGCAGTTGGGCTCCTCACCCCAGCTGGAGCCCCCAAAGAGATCCCTCTGCTGACACTGCAATGGTTTTCTCCTCGTTTTTCCAGAGCAGCACCGCTGGCGAAAATATCACTGAAGGAGCTGGAGCAGCACCCAGGGAACAGCCAGAGCTCTTTGGGAGGCTGCAGAGCAGCCAGGACCAGGATCCCAGCAGGAATTGCCAGCAGCAGGGGCCTGGCTGGGGCTGGAGCTGAGGAGGGGCTGCGTTGCAGGTCAGCTGGTGTAGCAGGGAGGTGACAGGGACGGCCTGTGGTCACCTCTCCATGCGTCAGGCAGCTTTGAGTAGTGAAATGAAGAAGCATTAGAGGCACCCTGAGAGATCTCCAGGAGGGCTCCTGGAGGCTGCAGAGTCCCAGATCCCTTCTCTGGGACATGGGACAACAGCTCATGAGCTGTCATTAGAGATAATTTGACAATTCTGCTGTAGCTGAGTGTTGTAGCAGAGTGGGCTTCAACCCCAGTACTCATTCCCTTTAAATTCAGAGCTGTGCCTCGCCCAGCCCAGTTTGTACTCACCCCTGGTACTGGTGGGGCTGGCCAGGACCTGTGTGAAGGCGCTGGAGCAGCAGCTCAGGCCACAGCGCCCTAATTCTGGGGAAGAAAACTCCAAGGGATGAGCTGTTGTGCCCAGAGGGCAAACCCGTGCCTGCAGCAGACAAACCAGGACAGTCAGGAGTGCTAGTTGGAGCCTGCCATCCCCAGACATGTCTGGGAAAGGGTTGGTCATGTTGCAGGCACGAAGGGCAAAACGAAAAGCCAAGAATTAAAAGTCTGAGCTCTCTTTATTCTGCAGAGTGCAGTAGTGCTGTGGACAGAGGTGTTGCACCAAAAACTCTCACCAGCGATAAAAACCTGTGTGGATTTTCCTTTCCTGCTTGGGTTGTGCCGTGAAACATGGTGCTTTGTGCCCCTTTCCCAAGGGGTGAGCAAATCCTCACCCCTGTGCCCAGGATCCTGGCACCAGCCAGTCCTGCACCCCTGAAAACCTCGGGAATGCTGCAGCTGCCCCAGCCTGCCCACAGCCAGCAGTGCCAGGGGGAGCAGCCAGCTGTGACTGCCGTGGCATGGAGTGATTTCTGTGCTGCCTGTGCCAACTGCGAGCTGGTGCTGGCCAAACCCTGCTGCCTTTTCTAGTCCAGCCGCTGCCCCGGTGCCGTGTCCATCGTGTTCCGTGGTGTCCTCCTTCCCTGAGCCGTGTGGCAGCGCTGGAGTCACTCTCCCAGCAGCATTCCCAGCCGAGTCCTCCCGCTCTCACTGGCACAGGGACTGCCTGATCCGCTCTGGGGGCACAGGGAATGGTTTGGGAACGGTTTGTGCTGGATCAGCCACTGCCACACGTGTGTTTTGACCCCATTTCCAATGGAATGGGATCATGGAAACAGCTCTGAGACCTCCAACACCAGACCTCTGACCCAGAAGGATTTGTTGTTCCCCCAACCTCTGACCCAGAAGGATTTGTTGTTCCCCCAACCTCTGACCCAGAAGGATTTGTTGTTCCCAGGGTTCTCACCAAAACCCCTTCCCCTGCTGGTTCCCACCCCAGCTCCAAGGGCCAAATAACACAGGGAAAAGACATTTCCAGTCAAAGAGGCTGTTTTGGGAATCCCCACAGCACCTGCTGCCCCTCATCCTCCCCCTCCAAGGTGAAACCGCTGCTCCCAGCCCTCCCATTCCCCAAAATCTCTCACCTTGGAGCAGGTTCCTCCTTCCAGCAGGCTCTGTGGGCTCTGGGGGCAGCGGCTGGTGTCCCACAGAGGAGCTGCCAGGTGCTGGGTGCCACATGGAGGTGGCTCCTTGGGTGGCACATCCTCACCTCCCATCTCCTCTGCAGCAGCCAGATCCCGCTGTACCAGCTCCCATGGATATCCAGCTTCCTGGGGGGGCAAAAAGGGGCCAGGAGGGGCAGTTGGCAACTGCTGCCCCACAGGAGTTGGGGGACAGCTGGGGCATCACCCCCGTGGGCACAGGGGAAACAGCTTCACCTTGGCTGGGTCCGTGCTGCTCGTCATCAGCCCGGCCTTGAGGCTGGAGGGGACACAGAGGACAGGCAGTTACTCCCTGAGGTGCCCCCACAGCCCCTCAGGGGTGCCCTGGAGCTGTCCCCTAGCCACCCACCGCTGCCAGCAGCACAGCTTGGGTGTGGGGTTTGTTTAATTCAGACCCTTTGTGTCCTTGTCCCTGACCCTGCAAGGGTCACAGCCACCTCAGGGAGGGGATTTCCTCCCCCCAGCCACGTTCCAGTCCCCCCCAGCCTGCCCAGTACGTACTGCACGAATTTGCACTTGGGTCCCTCGGGGCAGAAGCCCACCAGGTAGTTGGCACACATCACCCTCCTGGTGTGCTTGTACTTGCACAGGGGACCTGCCAGGCAGAGGGGACGCTCAGAGGGACACGGCATCACCCCGGGACTGGGCACCACGAATCCTCCCCGGGGCTCCAGCCCCTGCCCCCTCCCAGCTCACCGTGCCTGCAGAAGCCTCGGTCGTACCAGGGACAGCCCACGGTGCTGGCGGTGGCATCGAGGTGCAGGAAGGGACAGTCCTTGTTGCTGCACTCACCTGTCGGAGCAAGGTGTGGGGTGTTTGGGACAACGCGGGAATCGCTCAAGGAAGGGCTGGATGGAAGGAATTGGGGTGCCCTGGGAACTGCCAGGTTTGGGGGGACCCTGGCTGCGTGACAGTGACACTTCTTGGCGCAGTCAGGAGGTGGCACCAGCCGCTTGCTCCAGGCCAGGCCCGAGGGACACAAGAGGGGTGGGAAGAAGCTCCCTGGGATGCCCAGCCCCGCACCTACCGAACTTGGAGTACAAACAGCACTCGGGCATCCTGCTGGCATCCGAGTCGTGCAGGAAGCCGCAGCCGTCGCCCCTCTTGCAGAACCCTCGCAGCCAGTGCTTGCACACCGTGGGCTTGGCCCCGCCGGGCTGTGGGTGGCCCTGGACACCTGGGACAGCCCTGTCACAGCCAGCCTGTCCCCTGTGTCCCTGCACAGCCCTGTCACAGCCCTGTCACAGCCAGCCTGTCCCCTCTGTCCCTGCACACCCCTGTCACAGCCTGTCCCCTGTGTCCCTGCACACCCCTGTCACAGCCTGTCCCCTGTGTCCCTGCACACCCCTGTCACAGCCTGTCCCCTCTGCCCCAGGGTGGGGAGGGCCTCAGCTGCCACCCCCAGTGCTGGGACCACACTGGGGACTCTGGCACTCCCGGACAGCTTTGCCATCCTTGAGGGACGAATGCCTGGAGCCAGGATAAAACCACCCAGGTGGTGTGGGAGGGCAGTGAGAACTCCAAAAGACCCCACAGCCCTATCCCCAACTTACTGTCCACCCCCAGGAAGGGCAGGGGTCGAGCTCCGAGCTCCTCCACGTCAGCCTCCGAGTCAAACCTGATCTTCTCCACGCCAGCCACCAGCTCCTGCATCATCCCTGCTCGGGGAAGAGCCCGCTCCAGCCCGGCACAGGCAGGGGAGGAGGCGAGGAAAGAGGCAGGGAAGAACAGCTCCCCAAGGAAAACACCTCTCTCCAAAGGGAGTGCCACGCTCCGGAGGTCCCTGCAGCCACCCCAGAACCCAGCAGCACTCCAATACCCTCCTCTTCCTCCTCCCCAGGCAGAGCAGAACCAGCCCAAGCAGCCCTGGAGTGCTGCATTTAGAGGGGGAAGCTGCCCACATCTGATCCCAATTTGCAGCCCTGATTGCCTGGTGCCACAGCTGGGGAGCTCAGCCCCAGGCAGCCCCTCTCACTCCCCGCTCCCACATCTGCTTCTCCTCCAGAAAACGCGGCTGGGGCTGGCTGCGAGCTGGGTTAACCCCTCGCTTCCAGGCCTTAAATGGAGACAAATCTGGCCAGAGTGCTGGGATTGAGCATTCCAACAGCACGGGATGGATGCTGGGTGTGTTTTGGTGTGCTCTGGGCACTGTGAGCACCGCTCAGGGCGCAGCAGCACCAGCCCCAGGCCTGGCAGGGCACACCCACATCCCTGGGCTCCTGGAAGGGGTCACACCTTGCATCCCAACAAATCACAGAATCACAGAATGGTTTCTTGTGGAATGGTCCTTAAACCCTTCTCGTTCCATCCCCAGGCATGGACACTTCTACTGGGCTGCCCAGAATCCCCTTCCATCCCTGCTTTGGGGCTTTCACGGGTGCCAGGCTCCAGCGGCACATTCTGGGCATGACCAGGGCTCCGGAGCATTCCCAGAGCCCCAGGATTTATCCCAGCTCTCCATCCCTGCCCCAGGATTCATCCCAGCTCTCCATCCCTGCCCCAGGATTCATCCCAGCTCTCCATCCCTGCCCCAGGATTTATCCCAGCTCTCCATCCCTGCTCCATCACGCGGCTCCCGCGGCCACGCTCGGCGCCCGGGGCACGGTGGGCTGACACGGCCGATGGAGCCCTGCTCCCATTCTGTCACTTGGCATCAAAGCACTGGAGCAGCGCTGCCAGGGCGCTGCCCCTGGGTGCTGCAGGGTGCTGGGCACCCACCACCCACCCGCAGCCCTGTGGGACAGCCCAGGTGCCACCCCGGGGATGTGACAGACGCCCACCGAGGGGTTTGGGGAGGCCGGGGGTGCAGCCTGGCTCCCTGCGGCCGGCACTGGTGTCACTCCCCGGTAGGACACACGGCACTGTCCCTGTCCCTGCTGCCTCGCGGTGTCCCCGGGCCGTTCCCTGTCCCGTGGAGCGGGGCTGTGTCCCGGTTGTGCTCAGCAGCCTCACACACACTTTCTGCCCCATCAGCTCGTGGCAGTGTGGCACTGCCGAGCCCCAGCCTGGAGCTGACAGGCGTCACAAAGATCAGGGCGGCCAAGTGACAGCGGCAGGCGGCCACTAAAGTGTCACCCCAGGGCTTCTCCCCACCCCACGTCCCCGGGAAGCAAAGGGGGAAAACCCCAGGGACCAAACCTCACTGCTCTGAGCCACAGCATCGCTAAGGGACAAGAGGAGCCAGCTGTCCCCCAGCAGCCTGGTGACCTCCCAGGTGGCGGTGACCAGGATCATTGGCTCAGGGGTGGGACATGGGACCCTGGCAGAGGGCAGGGGGGCACGGTGAGAAGGGCAGAGCCAGCCTGGTGAGCTCAGAGCCTC